AAAAAAAAAAAAAAAAAAAAAAAAAAAAAAAAAAAAAAAAAAAAAAAAAAAAAAAAAACTATCACTACAACATATTTTGATTACTCTATCAATTTGATATCAAGAAAGTCTTTATTAAATCACTTGACGAAAAATGAACGATAATGATTATAATATAGAGGAAAAAAACACAGGAAAATAATAATAATAATAATAACAACGAAGAGATGAACTTTAAAATAGCTAAAAAGCCTAAAGGGCTCTATGTGGGGACACACAAAAACATTGAAACTTCACAAATTTTAGCTAAAAGGGTGTTAGACGAACACGAGCTCTCCACAATTGTATGATATTATCCACTTTGAGCATAAGCTCTCATGGCTTTGCTTTGGACTTCCTCAAAAGACCTCACACCGATGGAGTTAGTATTCCTCACTTATAAACTCATGATCATTCCCTAAATTAGTTGATGTGGGACTTTCATCATCCAACAAAGGAAAACTCGAAAGATACTAATGAAGGGTTCCTTAAGAACTATAGCTATCAAAATTTGAGCTTGACGAAGATTTTTCATCTCTTTCGTGCTTTTGTGTTAACTAAAAATATATTTACATTTTGTGGATATGTATATATATTATATTTTAATTCTATTCTCACGAATAAAGATGCGTACTTGAAATTATTTTAATATTTAGTCTTTATATTTTAATTTTTTTTATTTATATCTTAAATAAAAAGTTGAAAAGACATGAAAAAAAAACATTACTTTACATTATTTTTATCATTTATTTTGGGGCAATTAATGTGGCAAATTTCATAGGTTGAAAAAAAACTGTTATTGGCCACAAGTTGATGTCTTTTTTTTCTCTCCCTTGTTTGATTCATACGTTTTACCCAAGTTTATGATAAAAATATTTTAAGGATTCGATAATTTCATAATATTCGAAATTTGAATTTGATTCGACTATTTGTTTCTATCAAAAACAAGAAATGGTTTATTAAATGGTGTCCAAACTTCTAACTGTGTTGAGATCCCATATTGGTTGGAGAGAAAATGAAACATTGTTTTTTTGTAAGAGTGTGGAAACCTTTCCCTAGTAGACGTGTTTTAAGACCGTGAGACTAATGACTATATGTAACAAGTCAAAGCATCAGACACTGAGTTGTGTGCCAGCGAGGACTCGGATCTCCAAGTGGATGGATATTGTTCTCTTTGAGTTTTCCCTTTCATGCTTCTCCTCAAGGCTTTAAAATGTGTCGGCTAGGAGAAGGTTTTCACACCTTTATAAAATAAGGGTGTTTTGTTCTTCTCCCCAACCGTGTGACTCTCACAAACAAACCACTTCTTATAAGAATGTGGAAACCCCTCCCTAATAGACACGTTTTAAAACCGTGAGACCGATGACAATATGTAACAGGTTAAAACGGACAATATCTGCTAGCGGTGGGGTTAAACGGTTACAAATTTCATTTAGTTTTCTCAAGACACACCGAGCAGGTTCTCAATTATTGAAGAGGTAGGTTAAAAGTATTGAAAGATATTGTACCATATTGTGAGGGAGAAGGACTGAAGCTGGTCCCTTTAGGGCTTCCTTCCACTGTTAATAATGGAGCCACTTGGAGCTTATCAAAAGCTGGCCTTGTAAGATGAAAAGGAAAACCAGACAAAAAAGTCAGCTGTCATTAAACAAGTTAAAGATTTATAGGCTCACACACCCAATGCTCAAATGAACCCTTTGGAGACCACTAAGAAATGCATTAGATACCGAGCTATCTCTCGAACCGAACCTTTTAACTTTGCCCCAACGACAATTAAGGTTTCTTTCGGTTTTTGTTTCTCTCAAGAGATAGAGACATTCGAAAACGTTTTTTTTCTTCTTCTTATTTGTATTGATCACGTTAAGGATAAGAGCAAGACTCGTTCATATTTAATAGTATTTTGTTCTTTGTTCTATGCGAGATTTTAGTTGTCGTTGTCTCTTACTTGTCGAAGTAATTTAGGTTCAACACATTATTGTAATCGAATCTTTATCACAGCTGTTCTATATTCCAATGTCCGTCCAACATTCTAATTGATATATATTTTATTGGTAGTTTTAAAACTTTTATAAAATATTAATGGTAATATTATAATTTTTTAAAAATAAAAATATTTTTTTACGATAAATTAAATTTACATATATTTTTTATAATTAAATTAAACATTTTAAGCTCTTAAGTAACCTAGTACACATAAAAGCACTCCTACCTAGCTGTTGATGTCATTTTTTAGCCATTGGTCGGTTTGATTTTTGGACACCCAGGTTAGGTATTTGGTACGTGAATTTAATGATTTAGCTCGGAATGTTGATTTTCTAATTTTATCGAGTAAAAATTATTATTATTTAGATCGAGAACATATATTTGAATTCGACTATACTGTATTTTTATCATTTCAATAAAAATTACATTTTTTTTAACGTAAGAACGAGAATTTTTTTGTGCAACTCTTACAAATTATTAATTTAAAAAAGATTTTTTTTTTCTTTGACCATAAAATCATAATTGTTAATGCAAATATTAGCTAATTTCGTCAATTAAAACATTAAAAAAAATATTTGACAATGCTTTTTTTTAATACTTTAATAATCCATAAATACTTGAAAAGACATGGTGGTCGGTTTGTGGGGCAAAATAGTCTTTTTACTTTTACTTTTGACTTTTGAGGAACTCTCAATTTCAAGGCTTAAATGTCCCTTAACTCTCTATTTTTAGTTTTAATTTTGAACTAATTTTTCATAATTACTTACTAAAATACGCAATTAGTGAAGTAATTGCATCATTTTAATCTAATATAGGTTGGATTTGGATTTGGATTTAAATTTAATTATGTAATAAATAGGAATATTCTGATTCCTTTGGGAATCAAGAATTTTAAAAGCTGAGATTCATTGTGCTCATGCCATGTCTGGTAAAACTGTATGGAAGTCAACGGCATTTGTGAGCCTCTATTCCATTGTCCTTTTAAGCTTCATGGAGAAGAAGCACAAACTTCCTTGTCCCCTTCTAATGAAGGATTGCAACGTGGATAGCATTTTAGTGCCAAACCCCTTGGAGTCCACTACCTACGACAAATCGTAACGTTCAACATAGTTTATTGGCCCTACTTTTACCCTTG